CCTCATAAAGAACCTTAATTTGGTGAGAAATTCCTTCCAAAGAGAAGATTCAAAACAAAGGGCTAATCTCTCCAGACCTGACAGCCATGCAACTTTAAAGTTGTGCTCCAGAGTTACTTTCTCAAACTTGTTCAAGTTCTGAGAGTGTAGCGCAACGCGGATAACGTAATTTGTCCCCTCTCTGGTTACAGAAAATGGCAAAGCATCTGCCGACACCAGCAACCCCTCGCTGTCTCCATCATTCACACACATAGGCCCTTTTTTTTTTTTTTTTAACATTAAACTAAGGCAGCAGCATCGGGCCAGAACAGGGCTCTCTACTCTCATCCCTCCTCTCCAGCTGAGCAAGCTCGGCACATGGCTGGAGCCCTGACAGCAGATCTTTGAAAGAACCAGACCATCCCTTGATTTACTGACCAAGATCCACACCTACTCCCACCTTGGGGTGTCTGATATTGTAATTTGATGGAATCTAGAGGGGAGACTTCCCTGAAGGTTGGGCTCATAGGAGTCACATCTAGGGTAGGTTTAGTATTTCTGAAAGGGAGGGGGAAAGTTAACTGTAAATAAATCAACGTTACTCAGGCTGCCTGTCAGTTGCTTTCACTAAAGATGCAGAAATGTACAACCCACAGCTTTAAATCAGGGCTTTCATCACCTGAGCTCCTAGAAATGTGGTAAACACTAAATTTCCCTAAAAAGGATTAAGAGTTAAAGGAAAAAATTAAGAATATATTTTCCAGTTGCATATCCAGATCTATGCTTTTTATACTTCTGTTCTTTCCCAAATTAGAGTCCAGCACTTTGATCGTTCTGTCCTAAATTAAAATACACCTATTTCAAAACTATAAAATTTCATATACTATTTTCTCCTAGTCTATATTCTTATGAAAGACAGAGACCAAAATCCCAGCCATTTATTCTTATACACTTTTCTTAGAGCTTTAGCTCAAAGTACAGAATAAAGTCCTACTGTTTCCACATTTTCTGGCTGCCATGACCATCCCACCTGTATGAATTCTCCTACAGAGGAACAGGTGTGATATTCTTTGTCTCAAGCTTGTACCATATACTCACAAGAGTGGAAATGTTTCAGCCCAGAGGAGGCTTAATGGCTCCCATAAAACTCTATAAGTAACTCAAGGTACTCTGCACGTAGAAGACCTGGGTTCTTGCTTGTTTACACAACTTGCCCATTATATGACCCTGGACAAGTCATCAGGCTCTGTGAACCTCATTGTGTCTGCTTTAGAGATGAGCAAGAATCTATCACTTTCCCCACCTTCCCAACAGGGTGAAGGTCAAATAAAATAATGGCTGTCACAACAGCATATGAGTGAGCCTTGGATGGCTCAAGCCCTGGGGTCCCGATCTTCCTTCCTCCCTCCCTCCTTCCTTCATGTATCAAGGGCTTCCTGTCTGAATTAAACTGTCCTAGGTATTATGAGGAATACCAAGATAACTCAGAAATTCCCTTAAGAAGCTTAAAACTTTACAGGAAATTATACTTCTATGCATGTGAAGTGATAGGAAAGAAACAGATAATATGCTTTGAGAGTTACAAGAAGGAAAGATTACTTCGTGCTTAGTTAGGGGTATAGGAAAACCTCATGGAGGAAGGGGTATGTAAGCAGGCCCCTGATATCCAGATAAAATGTGGATGACCAGAGACAATGGTGAAGAGAGGCATCTCAGTGAAAGGACTAACAGTCACAAGGGCACGGGGAAGGAAAAGCATGGAGTAAGCACAGAAAGGACAAAGTTGTGCTGCCAGAGGTCTAGCGCTCCCTGAAAGGCAACAGAAGGAAGGAAAGCTAGAAAGCAGCCTGGAGCTGGACTGTGGCAGGCCCTGCAGCCAGAATGCGCTTGGATGCCAACACCGCCCTTGCCCACGACGCCCGTGCACCCGCACTCCATATCTGGATAAATGACACCATGTTCCTCACTCTTCCTGAACTCCCCCTAGCCAGCTAATATCACTCACATTTGTCCTGCATTAATTCTCACCTGGGTTCCTGAAACAGCCTCCTGCCTCTAGGCTCAACCTCCTACAACGGATCCATCCTCCACACTGATGGCAGACTGACCCGAAACGCAATCTCACCACATGATTCCTGTGTAAATACTTCAGTGATCTCCCATCACCCACAAATAACATTCCAGAACCTTCCATAAGATGCCAGATGTGGGCTTCCCTGGTGGCACAGTGGTTAAAGAATCTGCCTGCCAATGCAGGGGACGCGGGTTGGAGCCCTGGTCCGGGAAGATCCCACATGCTGCGGAGCAACTAAGCCCGCACGTCACAACTAATGAGCCTGCACTCTAGAGCTCACGAGCCACAACTACTGAGCCCGCGTGACACAACTACTGAAGCCCGCACACCTAGAGCCCGTGCTCCGCAACAAGCCACCGCAATGAGAAGCCCACGCACCACGACAAAGAGTAGCACCCGCTTGCCACAACTAGAGAAAGCTCGCGTGCAGCAACGAAGACCCAACGCAGCCAAAAAAAAAAAAAAAAAGATGCCAGGTGTTTGGCGTCCTGGGCCCTCTGCAGGCTCCACCTTCTGCTTCTCCCTCACAAGCCCCCTTCACTCCTGCCACACTGACCCCCTCGAAGTTCCTGAAGCCGCCATGCTCTCTTGTCCCTCTGACTTCTGAATTTGCCGGTCCTTCTGGATGGAACCTAACTTCCCCCCTTTCCCTGACTAGAAACACCTGCCCTTCTCCTTTTAACACTCAGATCATCATTTACCATTGTTCTGGAACTACTAGCCAAGGTAATTAGATCAAAGATAATAAAAGGTTCAAATATTGAAAAAAGGAAGCAAAATTAGCATTTGTAAATATGATTGCATATCTAGAAGACACAAGAGAATCAACGTTTAAAAAGTGAAACAATTACAGAATTCAGTAAAAGAGTATTTCAAAATTTATGTTCAAAAGCCAGTAATATGTCTTCACACAAAAGTTAGAAACTACGATGTCAGAGAGTACATATTCCTTTATCAGAGTATAAGAAAGATAAAATACCTAAGAAAAAGATTTTCAGGACTTGTGAAGGACCTATATAAAGAAAACTTTAAAATTCTACCAGAAAGACAAATCTTGCTTCCAGATAGCAAGATCTACTGCAATGTAAATCCCCAAGGCATGGATTTTCCTCTGCTTTGTTGACTGACATATTTCAAGTACCAAGAACACTGCCTGGAACATATCAGGCACTCAGTAAGTACCCAATGAATGAATAAATGCCTAAAACTATCTAAAAATTCAATGTGACCAATCGAAATACAAATAGGATTTATATGTGTATTCTGGGAGAAACTGACAGAGATGTCAACCTCCACTTGAGCAAAAATTCAAGTACTCAGGGTTACTGAAGGCATGGAGAACCAGAATAACCAAAATGCTTCTGGTGGAACTATAAACTGGTACAGTCTTCTGAAAGGGCCATTTGTTAATATCTATCAACATTCAAAATGTGTTTATTCCTTCAGCAATTTCTCAGCTGGAATTAATTCTGTAGATACACTCACACATTTATGTGCAAACACATATGAAAGGATGTCCCTTGTATTACTGTTAGAAAATAGATTTGCATGTAAGATACACCTGAACAATGGAATAGTATACAGCCATCCTTAAACCTGAAGTATACCTATACAGAATGAAATGGAAGTAAGCCCGTGATCTATTAGTAAAGTAAAAAAGGCAAGGCACAGAATACTATGTATAGTATGATCCCATTTGTGTTCTAAGATTATACAGTTAGGTTTATATAGGAATAGAAACCTTCTGGAAGGTTCCCTTTGGCAACAGATTCAAGGGAAGAGACAGACAGAAGGAAACTTTACCTCAAGCAAGACAGAAAGGTGTCTGCTGTTGTTTCGCTTGATGTTACCGTTTCACTTCCTCTCAGGCACCCTCGCTTCAGGAAGTGTCCTGCCCACCCCCATCCAGGAGCGCTGCCTGCCCCACCCCATACACTAGGGTGTACAGGACTACTCATACAATACCCTTCCTCGCTGGCTTCCCAAGTTAGTGGAGAGCTCCTTTGAGGGCAGGGCCTGCTTTCCTTTTCTGCTTTCTCAGCACATGGCACAGTGCCTGGCACATAGGAACCACTTAATAAAGGCGGGAGGAAGGAAGGCAGAAAGGAAGGAGGGAGGGAAGGAGGGCCCTACATGAAGATTAACCAGGTGGCAGTACACAGGACTATCTAGAGAAGGTAGAGTCAGGAGACAAGGCCGGCCGGCCGGAAAGAGAGTAACGATTCAGTCTGACATGGAGAAGACCCAGTGCTCTCAGGTGGAGGCCTCAGGGTCTGTGAGCCAGACGGCAGGTGTTCTCCAGCTTCAGGCACTTTCAGTGAGAAAGAAGCCGTGGCCGCTGACACACTCCCTGCAAGGCCACAAGTGCCTCGTGACTCCTGCAAGCAAGGACGAAGCCCTGTGGGCAGCTTCTGACCACACCATCTCGCTGCTGAGAATACCCAGGGGCCTCAGCCAAAGTCCTGAGCGATCCCTAATGCCTCTCAATCACGTTTGCTGAGGATGCTCCTCACAAGGGGTCTGAATGTTAACTGACATAATCCATGGAAAGCACTTAGCATAAAGCACAAGGGGAAGTGCTCAAAATATAAGCTGTTATTAAGTTGCTTACAGAATCCTTTCAAGAGTTCAAAGCACCACAACTGCGAAAGTCATCAGAAGTCTTCCATTTCCAACAAGACCCAGGCCTCCCCATTTATTTCTGTAATAAATAAACATACTGTCTTCTTAAGCACATTTAAAATAAACTGGAAGCTGCTGCTTCGGTATTTCTTACTTTTGTCATCATTTCAAAATTAAGCTGGTCCTATCGGCCCCAAGTCTGATAGCAAACTCTCATCTTAGAAAGCTCGAATTTGAATAACCTTTACAAATTCAGTACATTTCCCATCATCCCATCCTGATAGCCGGCCCAGGCCTGATGTGGCTCGCCCCGGAATTCATTTACCACGGAGGGAGGGTCATTCCAGTCTTCATAGGAGATGGCAGCGTATGGATAGATCCGGTCATTGATGATCTGCAGGGTGGCCAGGGCAATGGCTTTGATTGACTGGAAGTACGCTTCCCAGAACCACCGTGCCTGTGAAGAAAACCACACTGTGTGAAGTGAGCAAAGAGAGTGAAGAACTAGACGCTCCGTCACAGCCAACTCTGGGTCTGGGTAATTGCCTTATTCCCGAAGAAGAGGGAGACCAAGGCAAAGGCTCCCTGCTGTTCAAGGCCAGCTCCATCAGAGTGGGCATTTAACCAAGGCAGTCAAAATAGCACGTGAAACGCACACTGGATTCAATTTAGGTTTAAGAGAAACTACATGATACTTAAGACGAAATATCAGTGTGTTTAACCAGAGCAAGTTTAGAGTCTTTTTTGATATAACATACATAAAGTGCACAGATCTTAAGGGTACAACTCAATGAATTTCTACCTTCAGTACTCTTATAACTACTTCCCAGATAAAGATATAGAACATTCCAGCACCCCAGTCAGAACCTCACCCCTCCAAAAGTAATCATTATTCTGATTTCTATTAGCCCACTACTGAATTTCATATGAATGGCATCAACCAGTATTTACTCTTTTGCTCAACACTGTAATACTAAAATCAGATTTTGGTGTCAAGTTATGCTGGCCTCATAGAAGGAGTTGAAAAAGTTCTATTCCTTGACAAATTTTATGCAAGGTTGGCATTATTTCTTCCTTGAAAGACTGAGAATTCATCAAAAAAACCATCTGGGCTGGGTGTTTTTTTGGTGTGTAAAGGTTTTAAATCATGGATTAATTTTCTTTCATACCCATAAGATTACGCACATTTTCATGTCAGTTTCGCAGGTAGTATTTTTCAAGGAATGTGTTCACTTTACCTAAATTGTTAAATTTATTGGACTAAATGTGCGTCAATGCCTATTTAATGCCTATAGAACCTGTAGTAATACACCTCTTTTCATTCCTGATATTGATAATCTGTGTTTTCTCTTTGTACTTGATCAGTCTTACTGGATGTTTATCAATTTTATTATCTTTTCAAAAAACCAATGTTTGGTTTTGCTGATTTTCTTTATCTTACATTTTCTTTCTATTTTGTTCCTTTCTGCTCTTATTTTTACTTTCTTCCGTTTTGGGGGATTTTAATTCATCCTGCATTTAGCTTTTTGAGGTTGAAGTTTAGATATTTCAATCTTTCTTCTTTTTTAATACATACATGTAAAGCTATAAATTTACTTCTATGCACTATTTTAAATGCATCCCACACATTTATATATCATTTTCATTATAATTTAGGTGAAAAATGTTTTTAATTTCCTTTGTGATACTTTCTTTAACCCATGGGTCATTTAGAAGTATGCTGTTTAATTTCCAAACATTTTGGGATTTTCTATTTATCTTTCTGTTACTGATTTCTACTTTGCACTGTAGTCAGAAAACACACGTTATTTCAAAACTTGGCAATTTAAACTTGATTTATGGCCCAGTACATAGCTTATTTTTGTAAATGATCTATGTGCACTTTAAAAAAAGAGAATTTTGCCGTTGATGAGTGTAATGTTTTACCACTGTCAAGTACAATAAGTTGATTTTAAGTACTGTTTCAATATTCCTTATCTTTATTGATTCTTCTCTGCCTGTGCGTGTGTGCATGTACATGTGTGTGCGTGTGTTTACTTCCAAAACTTTTACTTTCAAATTTGTGCCCTCAAAGCTTGTCTCAGGATTGTCTCTTATAAAAAGGATATAAGTGGCTTTTAATATTTTATCCGATTCAAAAATCTTTGGCTTCCAATTGTACATATAGTCCATTTACGCTTAATGTAATTTCTGATATGGCTGAGTTTAAGTGTATGCTCATTCTATTTGTTTCATCGAGGTTCACAGATATACCTCAGTGTGGCCCTTTGTGTTTATCCCACCTAGGATTGGAGAGCTTCTCCAATCTATGATTTGATGTCTCTCCCTGTTTTTAGAAAACTCTCAGTCAATATTTTTTAAAATATTGCTTCTGTCACACTCCTCTTCTTCTAGGACTCCAAATACACATGTACGTAAAATGTTTTCACCATGTCCCATATGTCTCTTATTCTCTTCTCTGTATTTTTCCTCTCTGTGCTTCAATCTGGGTATTTTCTACTACTTTTTCTTCCGGTCCAATAATCCTTTATCCTTTTTTTGTGTGTGTGTCTAAACTGCTATTAAACCAATGTATTGAATTCTTACTTTCCCGTCTTATATTTTTCAGTTGCAGAATTTCCATTTGACTTTTTTAAAGAAGATTTCAAAACTTTGTGGAAATCCTCCTTCTCTTCTTCTATATTATTGAACATTGTTCGTTCCCGACTGATAACCCCAATATCTGAATAACCTGTAAGTCTCTTTCTATCATCTTTTTACTCTTCATTTTGGTCATTTGGTTTCAACTTCTAGCGTGCATCTTAATTTTTTATTGGATGCCAACATTCTGTATTAAAAAGCTGTAGAGGTTCTGGATGATCCAGATTATCTTCCTCCTAAGAATGTAACATATTCTTCTGGCAGGTACAGAGAATGCAGTCAGACCCTATAATCCTGTCAGGGGTTGGTTTCAAGTTTTGTCAGGGCCACCTTTTTTTGGCTTGCCCTTACTCTGAAGGTGTGGCCTTCTGGGCCTTCAATTAAAGCCTGGGGTATTTACCAGGACCCCTCCATCTTGGCCAGTCTTGAACACTGATCTTTATCTCATCAGTACTATACACGGTTGCTGAAATAGCTACAGAGCTTGTTAGGCTCCCAGCTGTTTCTTTCTGCAGGGATTCTCAGAGTTTTGTTCTGATCGTGTGCACCTCAGAAGTTGGCAAACACCTTAAGGGAAGATTGCACGCCTATTTTTTGCTATATCCCCGTGGTTCCCTTTCTCCTGGGATTTTGTTCTTCAAATCCCAGATACTTTGGAAGCCCCTAACTCCAACCTGTCAGCCCTGTGGGACTGCTGCTTTCTGCAAAGCCTCCATACCCTGGGCTGTGAATTAGGAAGCACCCTCGGGGAAGGAGCCAGAGTGAACAAGTAGCTCCCCTCAGTGTGCTCCTGTCTCTCAGGAATTGTCTCTCAAGTCCTGACTGCATGGGCTGCTCTCTGAACTGTTGTTTCATCTACTTTAATAAGATCTTATACTTCTTTTTCTTTTATTGACAGGAGGGTTACTCCCAAACCAGCTACTGTGTCAGAGCCTTCTGAAAGAAGACAGTTTCTTATCCAAGCAGAGTTTAAACTCGGTTCCTAATGAAAGCAGGATGCTGGTGTAGACGACCTTGCCAGCTTCATTCAGCCTACGAGTCCACTCAAAATCAGAGACTGTTAGGACTTACGCAAGGGGGCGAACATTTCCAAGTTTAGCATGAGAAATTGGAAGCGTAACTGAAATAGGTGGAGGAAAAAGACACTTTCTAGTCCAGACTTACTGACTTTGGTTCTGTTTCCTGGGCAAGTCCTCTATTCATTAGTTAAAGCCAAGGATAACTTCTGAGTTATATGACGACTGTTGTTTCCACTAACATTAAGAGGAAGGCAAAGCATCCCAATGAGAATTTCTCCTACTCAAAGAAAATCAGAAACAGATTTAGCTTCCAAGGGCATCTGACTTAAGCTGTCCTGTGGTCGGCCATCTGGGTACAGCCTGGGGGCCTGCTGGTTGCCTGCTGCTGCTTCTTAGATACACTCCACTCGCTCCAATCTCCTTCCTTCTCAGTCATCTTGCTGCTTTCCCTCCCATCATCCAGCCAAAATATCTACAGTTCATGAGACCTAAAAGAATCCATCTTCTCTGTGAGAACTTTACTGAGGTTGAGCGCCCCCAACATCAACAATCTTCTCTTACTGTGAAACACCACAGCATTTACAGCCTTTATCTTATAGGTCAGGTGTCTTACGTTCTGTTCTATCACTGTTTCGCTGCTATTTCGGATGCTCGCATTTCTCGCTCCAGCTAGACTGAATTCCTTTGGTGTGGAAACTGGCATTCTTTTATTAGTATCCTTGCAAATGTTAGAATGTTTTCCCTGTTGCAAAGCACTTTTGTACCCATGGTCTCGTTTGCTCTTTATTGCCAGTTTGTCACTTATTTGGGGCAGATGCAAATCTCATTTTATATGTGAGGAAACTGAGACACAAAGCTGTTAAGTGGCAGTGTCACCGCTCATGAATCCTAACTCTAAAGTCAGACCTTTCCCTACCCCATTCTAGAGTATTAAGAGTACCAGCGCACAGTAAGTTTCAGGAAACGGTCCTCTACCAAGGAACTGAAAGGAGTAAAAATTCACTGAGAAGCGTGAGCCCCACACGTAAACACACACAGCTTAAATATTTACCTCCTTTTTTACCCAAATGGGTCCATCTTCGTAGGTTCTTTTATTTTAAATCACACCACACTCAAACTTAAGCATTCCAAAGCTTTACGTTCACATTGAATCACAGCAGAGACAGCAGCATTTGGGATTTATAGGAAACAATGATTGGTAACAAATCCACCTAGAATACCAGCCAACTGCACAAGTGTAGGACAGAGCTTCTGATTTAAGGTGTCTCAAATCATCTAGCCCTGTCCACCAAATTACAATTTCTCTCAGAAAGGAAGCAAGCTTTGCCAATAATCATAGTTCAAGTGTCTCAGCCTGAGGATAAGTGAACTTTGCAGGCTTAATTATTTCTGCAGGACCTCTTTAACACCTTGAAGTGTTTAGAAGGCATAATTTACAGCCCCTCCAGGACTCAGCATCAGCCACTTTTCGGCAGAGAGGAAGCAGTTTTCAGCTATGCTGGCAATACGTGAAAGCACCAGTGTTCCCATCCAGTGAGCAAATGCAAATGCTTATTATGTTTTGAGGGTTTTTCCCCCCTAAAACAGGGGCCACACTTCTTCCTATCTGAAAAGTTTAAATGAGGGACTCTTCCACAGCTCTGCAAATTCCCTAGGCACTCCACACTGTGGATCTACACAGCTGAAAGGTAAGTCACATATGAAATGGTCATAACAATAACGTTCGACAAAGCATTTAGCTTTTCTTCATTAAACGGATACCATGGTAATTTTGTAAAATGTGCATATTTCAAAGCAT